GAAATGAAGTATATTATATCTAATATCAAGAATAGGCTGGAAAGAATTAAAAGCAGGCTCAATGAAGCAGAGAACAGAATAAATGACTTAGAAGGTAGAAAAAACCACTCAATGAAAGCAGCAAAAAGAGAAAACCCTTAAAAAGTCTGAGGACAGTCTAAGGGAGCTTTGGGACAACATGAAGTAAAAAAATATTTGCATCATAGGGATACCAGAGGAGGAGGAAAGTGAGCAAGGGATAGAGAACTTGGAGGAGGAAATAATGACAGAAAACTTCCCTGTGCTAGTGAGGGAAAAAGCCACACAAGTTCAGGAAGCACAGTGGGTTCCAAACAAGAGGGACTCTAGGAGACCCACTCCAAGACACATCACAATTAAAATGGCAAATGTTAAGGAAAAAGAGAGAATATTAAAGGCTGCAAGATAGAGAAGCAGTGAGCTACAAGGGGTCCCCCATAAGGCTGACAGCAGATTTCTCAACAGAAACACTTCAGGCCATAAGGCAGTGGCATGAAGTCTCAAAGTAATGAAAAGCAGGAACCTGCAACCAAGACTGCTTTATCCAGCAAGGCTATCATTTAAAATTGAAGGTGAAATAAAGAGCTTCCCAGACAAAAGAAGTCTAAAGGAGTTCAGTACCACAAAACCAGCATTGCGAGAAATGCTAAAAGGACTGGTCTAAGAACAAGAATAAATATTGAGAGAAAGGTACATTGGCATGAAGGGGGAAAATGACATTAAAGTAGGTGAATGGATACAAAAACAGGGCCCATATGTATGATCTCTACAAGAGACCCACCTAAGAGCAAAATATTTACACAAGTGTAAAGTGAAGGGATGGGAAAAAATATTCCATGCAAATGGAAACGAAAAAAAAGCTGCATTAGCAATACTTATTTCTGACAAAATAAACTTCAAAATAAAGACCATAACAAGAGAGAAAGAAGGTCACTACATAATACTAAAGGGATCAATCCAACAGGAAGAAATAAGCCTTATAAATACATATGCACCCAATAATATAGGAACATTTAAATATATAAAAAATTTCTTGGTGGACTTTAAGGGGGAGATCGACCGAACATAATCATAGGGGAGACTAACATCCCACTGTCATCATTGGACAGATCATCAAGACGAAAAATCAACTGGAAAACAGAGACCTAAAGTGACACATTAGATCTAATGGATTTAAATGACATTTATAGAACATTTCATCCCAAAGCAGTAGAATATACATTCTTCTCAAGTGCACATGGAACATTCTCAAAAACAGACCACATGTTAGGGCACCATGCAAGTCTCTACAAATTCAAGAAGATGAAATCATATCAAGCATCTTCTCGGATGACAATGGCATGAAACTAAAAATCAACCACTATAAAAAAACTCAAAAATATTCATATACATGGAGGACAAATAGCATGTTATTAAACAATGAGATCAAGGAAGAAATCAAACACTTTCTGGAAAAAAATGAAAATGAACAGACAACCCAAAATCTATGGTACACAGAGAAAGCAGTCCTGAAAGGAAAGTTTACAGCATTACAGGCATACCTCAAGAAACAAGAAAAAGCTCTACTAAACCATCTAATCCAATAACTAAAAAATTAGAGAGAGAACAGCAAGAAAAGCCACGAGGAAGTAGAAGGAAGGAAATAATAAAGATCAGAGCAGAAATTAATGACACTGAGACTAAAAAAATAATTTAAAAAGTGAATGAAACCACTGATTTTGGGTTGTCTGTTCATTTTCATTTTTTCCCAAGAGCTAGTTCTTTGAAAAGATAAACAAGATTGATGAACCTTTAACCAGACTCACCAAGAAACAAAGAGAGGACTGAAATAAATAAAAACAGAAATGAAAGAGGCGATATAACAATTGACTCAGTAGAAATACAAGGGATTGTAAGAAAATAATATGAGCAACTACATGCCAACAAAATAGATAACCTGGGTGAAATGGACAAATTCCTAAAAAATACAATATTCCAAAGATGAATCAGGAAAAATTAGAAAACTTGAATAGGCCAGTAACAACTAATGAAATTGAAGCAGTAATAAAAAAACTCCCAGCACACAAAAGTCCTGGTCCAGACGGCTTCACAGGGGAGTTTTACCAAACATTCAAAGAAGAACTAACACCTATCCTCCTCAAACTATTCCAAAGAATTCAAGAGGAAGGAACACTTCTAAGCTCTTTTTATGACACCAGCATGAACCTAATTCCAAAATCAGATAAAGACACTACAAAGAAAGAGAATTACAGGTCAGTATCCCTGATGAACACAGATGCTAAAATCCTCAACAAAATACTAGCAAATCAGATCCAGCAATATATTAAAAAGATCAGACATCATGACCGAATGGGATTTATTCCAGGGATGCAAGGCTGGTACAACATCCGCAAATCAATAAATGTAATACATCACATAAACAAAATTAAGGACAAAAATCACACGATCATATTAATAGATGCAGAAAAATCATTCAACAAAATCCAACATCCATTTTTGATAAAAACTCTCAGCAAAGTGGGAATAGAGGGATCATACCTCAACATGATAAAGGCCATATATGACACACCTACAGCTAAGATCATACTCAATGAGCAAAAACTAAAAGCATTTCCCCTAAAAACAGGAACAAGACAGGGATGTCCACTTTCACCACTCTTATTCAACATAATACTGGATTATCCTATCCACAACAATCAGGCAAAAAGAAAACGTAAAAGGTATCCAAAGTGGAAAGGAGGAAGTAAAACTGTATTTATTTGCAGATGACAATGATATTGTACATAGAAAACCCTAAAGACTCTACCAAAGTACTACTAGCTTTGATAAACGAGTTTGGCAATGTAGCTGGATACAAAATTAACATCCGAAAATCGTTGGCATTTTTATACACCAACAATGAACTCTCAGGAAGAAAAACTAAAAAAGCACCGTCATGTATTTCCTAACTTTCTCACCAAAGCAAATAGAAACCAGCACCCCTCCATAAAGTGGAAATTCAGATGTATGGCACAGAAAATAAGTGCTCAGAAAGAGGAGAGGGTAACCAATGTATTATGGAATGTCTCTGTCACTTAGACAGAAGGAGGCAAATTCAGGTGCAAATTTATAGGGAAACGTTAGGGGAGTTCCTGGAAAAGGCTTCTATTTTCAGGTAAACTGAAATGCAAAATAGAAAAATTGAGGTGATCTGTTAGGGAAATAAAAAGGGGAGTAATGAGAAACACATCAGACTGATGAGGAGTGTTCACATAACACAAATATGTGTGGCCTTAGTTCATCTATGTATAATAGACCTTTCCAGGCTGTGAACAACAGTGGAAAGGTTGGATCAACCCATGAAATTTTGGGGGACAAGTGGGGCAGCAAAGTAGCCAACGAATGTTGACAAGAAAGAGCAGAGATGTGATCAATGACGCAGCCTAGAAGGGATGGCCTCAGAGCTAAAGCCAGTAGAGCCTGGAAGAGGAAGGAGGGTCAAGAGACTGGAGTTCTTGGTCTTTACCCAAGAGAGACACACTGGAGAGTAGGGGTGGGAAAGAGGTGAGGTTATGTTTAGACAGCTGGATGTTAAAATGGAAGATTGTATTGGTAAAAATATGCTGGGTGATAATCAGGTAAGATATAGATGGCTAATCTTTTAAATATATCTTTATTGATTTCAGAGGGAGGAAAGGAGAGGGAGAGAGAGAGACAGAAACATCAATGATGAGAGAGTCATTGATCGAGCCCGCAACCCGGGCATGTGCCCTGACCGGGAATCGAACCTTGATCGCCTAGATCCTAGGTCGACACTCAACAGTTGAGCCACGCCCGGCCGGGCAGATGGCTAATCTTAAGAGAAGATAAAGATCAATGAAGTTGGGGAGGTGGACACTTGTGAGGCTAGAATACTGATGGGCTAGAAAGAAAGAGCATGTACTAGACTAGGTCAACATGTGACATTCACAGAAGGAGTCAGTTGGGAACAATGGTAGATGGAGCCTCAAAGGAGGAAGGGTCTTACCTGAGCTAACAGTTTAGGGTTAGAATTAGGATTAAGTGTAATAAAAAGGTTACAGTGTATTACCTCTGCAGCCATATCTAGAACATATAAACTAAAAGCTATTCCCCTATGCCTGTTAGTTTTATAATTCTCAAAATGTTTATGTGAAGCAGATGTCACAAAAATTAATTACCTAATACAAATTCCACACAGAAACCACTCAAATGATTAAGGTTTCCTTTATCATTCAAATGACTCAGTCATATTTAATGTTAAAATTAAATTTGGCCAAATACAAAGCAGAATATTATATATTTCAATTATTTTTAAAACATACATGTACAAAACATTAATATGAAATTAAAGACATCTTTAAAAGTTTAATTTTTAATATATAATGTATATCAATTATAAATTGAAACTTATTTCAGAAATGAAACTTTGTCCTAGGATTGAGATAGTCATTTTCTTTTTGGAAGTAAGAGAAAAAAAAAATTTTTTTTTTTTAAATTTTATTTTTCAATTACAGTTTACATTCAATATTATTTTGTATTAGTTTCAGGTATACAGCATAGTAATTAGACAATCATATACTTTACAAAGTGCTGCCCCTGATGTTTTTAGTGCCCATCTGGCACCATACATAGTTATCACAGTTACTGACCATATTCCCTATGCTGTGCTTTACATCCCCGTATTTTGAGATAGTCATTTTTATGATTGATAAAGAAATAATACTTATTTGCTGAGATATGAATAAGAAAAATACATAAAGTACCTTAAAGCAGGTATTTAAAAAACTTTTGCATAAAAAGGAAATATATTGATCACAATAAAGACCAAGTAAAATGGAACATAATACAAGAAAATGGAAATAATGAATGTTTATTCATATTTGTTCATGAACTTAATGTGTCTCTTGGATTCTAATTCTATAAATAAAATAAAATCCCACCAGAAGACTTTAATTAAACATAAAATTACAATGGCTACTTACTGTATAAGAGCAGCTCTTTCAAAGTATTGAATGGCTTTTTCACAAAACTGGGTGTCAATATAATAGGCCCCAAGCCACTCAATGACTTCAATGTTAGAAGGGAAATACCTGTATGACTAGAGAAAATACAGAACATGACAATACAACTTCAGTGGCAATGCTTAATTTACTTCTGGAACATTTTACCCATTGAGTGGATTAATTTATCCAGTGTGAAATTTCTCAATAAAGAAGTATGAACTGTCTGTCATATGTACTTTAAAAGATTTTGAAACTATACAAGATTTAGAAAACAAGACTTGACACATTTTTGACTATCTATAAATATTTTTTTGATGTACTGATACATAATTCAAGTCAAATTAAATACATAATAGAATAAAAAATGAAAGTCATGCTTCAAGAGAAAAATTAGTCTGTATTTCTTATTTAATTTTTTATTAAAATCAATCAAAAACTAACTTTATATTCCACAAATGCTTTCATTTTAAATCATTATTCATTTATAAACTAATAAGCATTTCTACAGTGTGGTGATGGCCACAGTGGGGGCGGGCAGGGGCTGGTAGGAGGTGGGTAAAGGGGCAGAAATTAGGGGACATCTGTAATAGTGTCAATAATAAAAAAATGGTAAGTTAAAAGGTACACTCCATTTTTAAAAACAATTTGTAAACACTAAAAAGTAGAAAGAAAGTATGATTATCTGCCTACCTCATAGTAGTATTGAAATGCTTGGGACTTCTCTCCTTCGCTATCATATAATTCTCCAAGTTTAGACAGAGCTCTAGAATCAGTTGGAACAACACTGATCAGCTGCATTAACCATTCAATAGCTTGATTGGGATCTTCCATTAATTCATATCTTGGACAATTTCAGTTAAGGATAACAGTTTTTCTGAATTCATTGATCAATAAGCAAACCAAAAGATAACATTACAATAAAAATATTCCTTAGCCTATAGTGATGTGCTACTTAATACTATTTACTTTGGATTTCCTTAGGGATGAAAATGAAAAATTGAGCAGCACTGTGACTCTTGTTCCATATGTACACTTGGATTTTCCTTTGCCTCATTACCATCCACTAAGATCAACTCCCAAAGCATTGTCCAAAGTCTCTCCTTAATAAAATGCCTAATGTTGTATTCAATCATCCTACCTCTTGTAACACACTCAACATATTGAGGGCATAGTTTCATTTATTTTCCTGTTTCACTAATTAGATTATAAGCCAAAAATAGGGAGTTTTTTGTAGCCTTTGTGCCTAGTGAGTCTTCTGCATACACTCAGCCTGTTCACACCTATTCCAATCCAAACTTTTTTTGAAAAATAAGAGTCGCCTGTTTTTAATGATGAAAAATGTGATACCATAAAAAAACATAAAAATAAGAAAATATGTTGAAACAGTCTTAAACATATCAATGACTTGACTGCGTCCAAACTGATCATGAACTGGGCACTATCAGATCATGATACTGGCAATTTCAGAGAAATTAAATGGATAAAACAAAAAGGCTAAAAGGAATAACTATGAAGTCATTTGTTCTATAACTAAATTTTTTTAATAAAACAACTTTTTTATCTACTGTACCAAAAGTATACCAGATAGTACTTAAAATTACTAATGGTACCCTGGCCAGTGTGGTTAAGTGTTTAGAGTGTCGCCCCATGAACCAAAGGGGCACGGGTTTGCTTCCTAGTCAAGGGCATGCACCTCGGTTGCCAGCTTTCTCCCCGCTCCCTATTGGGGTGCATGTGGGAGGTAATCAGTCGAGTAAATTACTTCATTGGTTAAGCTTACTCCATAATTGCTACTCAATCACCAATTTAATGAATTAATAATGACTTTAAATTCTTCACATAAGATACACATTGGCTATCTGGTACAAAACTTGGGCACTGTTTCTCAAGATTGCATGAAGCTTCAGGAAACAATCCAAAGCCTCGTCAAGCCGGTTTAGCTTCTTATAGGTAAGGCCTTAAAAAAAAGGAAAGAAAAAAAGAAAAAGTATAAGGAATTTCTGCAAAGTAACAGAATGAACATTTAAATACATGTAAATATTCATCCAGAAGAGAAAATAAAAATGAACAGATTTTCTTTTTAAAAGAACAAGCTGGGCCCTGGCCAGGTAGCTCAGTTGGTTGGAGCACTGTCTCAATACACTGAAGCTGCAGGTTCATTCCCTGGCAGAGCACATACAAGAAGCAACAAAAAGATTTTTTCCAAGATGGTGGCAGACTGAGCGGAAGCTACACTGACACTCTCCCAGGACCAAACTGGAACTACAATTAAAATAAAGAAAAACCATCCTGAATAGGCAACTGAAGACTAGCTGGAGAGCACCCTCATAACCTAGGACCTACAGCAGAGACTGCATAGAGACTGGCAGGAAGTGCAGAGGCGCAAGCGGGCTGGCTGGGCTCCGAAGGCAGCAGCTGAAGGCCCAGAGGGATATCTCGGCTGTGGGGGTTCCCACTGGGAACTCTGGGGCCTACACCACAAGCTGGGCTTCCCAGCTCAGAGGACCAGAACTGAGAAAGGTGCCCACATACTATATGGCTGTGAAAAGCAGCTGGGTTTCTGTCTACCAGGGAGAGATGGCTGAAAATACAGGCACCCTCTTAAAGGGCCAGTGCATAGAGTTTCATGTGAGTCACTCACCTTGGGCTCCAGCAGAGGGAGGGAGGGTGACTAGAGCTGTTTGAGAAACCAGGGTTGCAGACTGGAGACAGAGCTCAGAGGGCAGCAATCTGGATTGCTGTGCTGAGTCATTCACTCATACTGCAGAGCACATCTTTCTCAGGTAGACCTTTGCCAGCTAGCAGCTTTTGCCTGGGAGGGAAGCAACCTCCCCACCATTGGAAAACCTCACAGCCCGCCCTGTGGTATTTATGCCTTGCCTACACTGTGAGGTTCATAAAAAAGACTCAGATTAATCAGTCTACAGGCAGAGGCACACCTCTTGGTGCTTTGAGTCTTTGCCTGATCTGCTTCTGGACCTGGGCTTTGGAAAAGCAGACTTTGGTGTGCATTTTGGTACTGTCCCAATGCACCCAGCCCCAGCATAGGGGACCACAAGCCGTGGACTTTTGATAGCTCCAAACAGGGTACTCAAGGCCAGTCACAAACAGCTTCTGACATTGGCCTGCACCAGAGACCATCCAAAAGACTGGGAGTCCTAGCAGATCTACCTAATTCACAGAAAAAACCCCAAAGAGGCAGCTAAAATGGGGAGACAAAAAAAAAAATAAGCCCCAAATGAAAAAACAAAAGAATTCCCCAGAAGAACAGCTAAATGAAATGGAGATAAGCAATCTATCAGATACAGAGGTCAGAATACTGATCACAAGGATGCTCAACAGCTTCAAAAAAGAAATGGAAACTATGAAGGAAATTAAGAATGTCATAGAAATAAAAAAAAAAATTGGAAGAAATAAACAGCAGATTGGGGGAAGTTGAGGGTCGGATCAGCAAATTAGAAGATAGGGTAGAAAAACAATTAGAGAACCAAAAAGAAAAAACAATTTAAAAACAGGAGGACAGCTTAAGGGAGCTGTGGGACGACATGAAATGTAATACTTTCAACAGTAAAAGATTAAAATAAAATAAAAAAATCTCTCTCTCTCACACATACACACACACACACACACACACACACACACACACACACACACAAAGAAGCAACCAATGAATGTATAAATAAGTGAAACAACAAGTCAATGTTTCTCTCTCTATTTAAAAATCAATAAATAAAAATTAAAACAACAACAAAAAATAAAAGTTGGGGGCAGGGATGTTCCACTAATATTTGGCAGACACCAAAAAGCTTTAGTGATGGTAGAGTGTAGTAGGAAAAAGGACTAGGCAAAAAGATCACTAAAATAGAATAAACAGTTCAGAAATGGACTCAGTTATAGAACTTAGTTAATGGTTACTTAAAATTAATGAGGACTAATGTAGATTACCATTTTCAATTTGTTCCTATTTTGAATAAATTGAAAATTTATATTTTAAAACTAAACACAAAAAGCAAAGCTGTAAAACTATAAAAAAATAGGAAAATCTTAGGGAAGAGAAGGGCTTTGTAAAGCAATATACATTTTCAAAGAGAAAAATTTGCATGAAATATAGAAAAATTCTGTTTGACCAAAGGAATTATAAAGTCAAGCAATGAACTAGGACAAGTTTTTGAAGCGTTTAAACAGGATAAATATATACCTAGGTATGCAACCTCCTGCATGGAGGCCTTTGCTCTCTACTTTCCTGTCAGTAATGCTCGTTTCCCATATGCTCAAAAGGCCGTATCCTCCCTTCCAGTGTGACTGTAAATGTCTCCTGAGGGAGGCTCTCCTTAACTCCACCTAAAATTGCAAATTCCCCCTGCCTCCTCTCATCTTGGCCCAGCCAGGGTTTCCTTTTTCAGTCTGACGGATTAGAGTCTTCCCTTGGAGGAGATATCCACCTGCCTGACCGGAAGATCCCCAAATATACAGGCCAGACAAATGGCCCTGTGGCAGGTGGCCTGCAATCAGCCTCATTCATGCCTTGGAGCACCTATTCGGCTTCAGCTGCACACTCCTGAACATGAGGACACTTTGAGGACACTCAAACATCAGAGAAAAAAGGTAGTGATGAGAAAGAGAGGATAAAACACACACACAAAGCAAAATGCAGGGAAAAGAAAACTGGAAAAAAACTTCAGAAGTAACCCGAGATGAGACACAGTACTGCACTGAACTGTGTATGCAACGTTGCAAACTCATGAACAGGAAGGAATGCACTCATTTCAGCTGACCTCTGACAGTCAGGGAATGAGGTGATGAGCTTTCAGGTCTGGTAACATTTTGTTTATTAAAAACATTCTGAAATAAAAATGACAAAATGTTAAAATGTATTAAATATAGGTAGTAGGTACACGAGCATTTATTTTTTTCTGTATAGTTTTTTTATATTTGAAATTGTTCATAATTAAAAGAAAATGAGACTTCCCCCCTACTTACCAGTTTGGCAAAAGTTTAATTACAATATGCAGTATTAGCAGGACTTGGGAAATCAGTCTCATACACCATGATGGAAACAGAAATTGGAAAAGTGTTATTTTTGTTTTATGTTTTTAATCCTCCCCTGAGGAAATTTTTTCCATTGATTTTGAGACAGAGGGGAAAGGGGATGAGGAAAGGAGAGAGAGAGAGAGATTAATGTGAAAGAGACACATTGACTGGTTGCCTCCTGCATGTGCCCCGACCAGGGACAGGGATTGAACCTACAGCCCAGTTATGTATCCTTGACCGGGAATTGAACCCGTGACCCTTCAGTGTGACAGCCAATGCTCTAACCACCAAGCAATACTGGCCAGGGTGGAAAAGCCTTTTTAGGGGGAAATATGTCAACATCTGTACAAATTTTACAGGTGCACAGCTTCTGAATCATTAATTCCATTAAAAATAATCTATATTCAAAGTGTCTTCTTTTTAACTCTTTGTTAAAAGGAAGTCAACTCCTCCTAATGAGTTGGAACTCAATAAGCAAAAAGAGAGAGGAAAAAAAGGAAAAATAATTACAAAGCAAAAAAAGCAAAACACCAAAACAACAACAAAAAAACCCCAGGGCACACCCCCGAGAGAACTGGAAGATGGGGGCAGAAAAGGTGGATTTTCTCCCACCTCCTCCAGGAATCTAAGTAGAATTAAAACTAAATTGGGGAATATTTACTTTGAAACACCAGCTGAAGACTAGGTGAAGAGAAGATTTAAACAAGGGCAGAAACCACCTCGAGACCGGTAGGAAGGGACGGGACACAAGAGGCGCTGGCCCAGCACCAGGAGCTGCAGGCCAAGGATGAGGAGCGAGGCCTGGACCCCAGGCAGGGCATCCCATCCTAGACAGCCACAGCTGGGAACAGCTGCTCACATGGAAGCCAGTCACCAGGGCTTCTATCAGCCAGGGAAATGAGCTGCCTGGAGACAAAGCCATTTTTTAGGAACATAGGAGTTTTGTTCCTAGACATTCACCCTAGGTTTCAGGGGAGAGAGGGTGGAGTGGACTGGAGTCTCTGGAGGAGAGACAGGGTGAGGCAATAGGGGAAAGTCACAAGGAGGGCAACTGCCTGATACCTGTGCTGAATCATCCCACACCCCATATCTCAGCAGCCATTTTTCCTGAGAGGCACAAGCCCCTCCTCACAGCAGAATCTTGGGGAAAGGCAAATACCCCGCCTTCCAGGTTTCAGCTTGCTCCACACTAAGGAATCCTGCTTGCCCCACCCTTTGGAATCCAGCGTGCCCACCCAGCATCTCAACCCATGTGGAGGAGGCAGCAGTCTCAGGGAACTTCAGTGGCTGGTTTTGGGGCAGGAATATTTCCCCCACATTCCCAGGAAGCTGGTCGGCACTTCCCTCTCACAGGAGGGCTGATAGAAACTCCTGGCAGACCACACCACCCAGCCTAAGAGGTACTCTGCCAGACTAAGGACAGGGAAATAGTCTGGGAACACACCCACCAGGAACACTTCCCTAAAGTCTGAATGTTTGCTGACCCACGTTAGGGACCTGTGCTGCTAAAAAACAGGTCTAGGAGCTCAGCTTGGCTTCTCCCATGGGCAGCGAAGCCCAATGGAGGCAGCCACAAGCTGTGGATTGCTTGAAGCTTGGAAAAAGGTGCCGAGAGCCAAACTTGGACAGCTTCTGACATTGGATAGAACAAAAGTATCTGCTGGGAGGCCTGAAATCAGCATACAAAACAGTCAGCCTCAGACAACATAAGAGCAGGATCCAAAGGAAATCCTAGAAGGCACAAAAATCTGCCAAGACAAACTTCACTTGGTGGTTTTTGGTTTTATTTTTGTTTCATTATTTTCTTTTTCATTACGTTGGTATTATTGTAACTATTTTCTCTCTTGTGTCTTTCAGACCTCTTATTTGCACCTTTCCTTTTCTTACTCTATTTTTTCTTTTGTTTCTTTATTTTTTTTAAATTTT